TGTTTTTAATGAATGTCTACTAGGTTCCTTCCTTTCCCAGGACCCCGCTCCTAATATTGTGGTCCAAGTGAAACAGACTTCGGACAGCTCTGAAAGGAAAAAGCTATCTGGAGCGACCATGTGTGTGGCCCCAGAGAGCTGTGAGGGGCATCTCATTCCTTTTTCTCTGGTATCTAATCTGTCATAAGATAATCTTCCTCAAACTGCTTTCTTTGCTTCTCGTCCTGGGTGGTGAAACTCTGCTGGGTATCTATAGACGACTGAATCAAATGTGAACTCTTTACCTGTTAGACATGGTAATACTTAGTTAAAAAACTCCTCAAGGAGTATAAAAAGGTACAGGAAGAGTATAGGAAGTATAAGAAGGTAAAAGTAAACTTGCCATGCTCCAAGATCTTATTCTTCAGTCCCACTCTCACAATGCCCACTGCTACCCACTATTGGGCCTCCTTCAGAAGGTGTTTTAAAACAATTTTTTTATTTATCATCTTTAAATTTTATTTTATTGTTTAGGGGAGAGGGGCAGAGGGGGAGAGAGAGAGAAAAATCTTAAACAGGTTCCACACCCAGCACGGAGCGTGAGGCTGGGCTTGATCTCCCAACCCTGAGAGCATGACCTGAGCCAAAATCAAGAGTTGGACACACAACTGCCTGAGCCACCCAGGCACCCCTAAAATTTTTTTTAATGACAAACAAATATAAATAGACATCCTTCATCCTTTATTTTTTATTTATTTATGGTTTTTTTTTTTAAGATTTTATTTATTTGAGAGAGAGAGAATGAGAGACAGCATGAGAGAGAGGAGGGTCAGAGGGAGAAGCAGATTCCTTGCTGAGCAGGGAACCCGATGTGGGACTCGATCCCGGGACTCCAGGATCATGACCTGAGCCGAAGGCAGTCGCTTAACCAACTGAGCCACCCAGGCGCCCTATTTATTTATGTTTTTAAAGATTTTATTTACTCATTTGCCAGAGAGAGCACAAGCAGGGGGTAGCAGCAGGCAGAGGGAGAAGCAGGCTCCCCACCAAGTGGGGACCCCGATGTGGGGCTTGATCCCAGGACCCTGGAATCATGACCTAAACTGAAGGCAGACGCCCAACCAACTGAGCCACCCAGGCGTCCCATCCTTCATCCTTTAAAACCACAAATGAGTTCATACAATATACACTGCACTGGAACTACCTTTTTTAGTTAACTTATCTTGATCCCTTTCCATATTAAACACACATCTAGCTCACTCTTTATATTGGCTGCTTGGAATCTCCTTGCTAGACAATCTACTGGGATTGTTGGGCTCTTGGGTTATTTCCAGTATGTGAACTGCTGAGAGTGTCTCTGTAAGATGAGAGAATGCATATTTCCACCTGAGCCTTTAATTATACTGTTCTCCCAGATCCTCCTTACCTTCCTCAGAAAAGCTCTCCTATCCTCTTCCAAACTTGCGCTCAAGATAGCCTCAATACCTAGAATTTAGCACTCAATTTGGGAGTTCTGTGCCCACCAGGAGACCATAAACTCCTTAAGGGCAAGGATCATATCTTATACATCTTTATATCCAACCAATATGAAGAGCTAGCTCTTGATTGGAGGAGGCTGATAGGAGTGTTAGGACTAGGAGTACCTGCCCTGGGATAGGAGACAATCTAATTAATCAGTGGCAAATGAGATATGACTATAAACACCTTCTTTTCTGTATTTCTCCTATAGTACTCATTATTCAGTCCTTCTTTGACTCAGCTTCTTGTCACCCCACTTTTATATTTTTTTAAAGGCTTTTTATTTTTATTTTTAAGTAATCTCTACTCCCAACATGGAGCTTGAACTTACAACGCTGAGATCTAGAGTTGCATGCTCTACTGACTGAACCACCCAGGTGCCCCACCCCCTTTTTATTCTTAAGAAGTTTCTTCCAGGGGCGCCTGGGTGGCTCAGTCATTAAGCGTCTGCCTTCCACTCAGGTCATGATCCTAGGGTCCTGCTCAGCCGGGAGTCTGCTTCTCCCTCTCCCACTCCCCCTGCTTGTGTTCCCTCTCTTGCTGTGTCTCTCTCTGTCAAATAAATAAAATCTTTTTTTTTTTTAAGATTTTATTTATTTTTTAGAGAGCGAGCGAGAGAGAAACAGCATGAGAGGGGAGAGGGTCAGAGGGAGAAGCAGGCTCCCCGCTGAGCCGGGAGCCCGATGTGGGACTCGATCCCAGGACCCTGGGATCATGACCTGAGCCGAAGGCAGACGCTTAACCGACTGAGCCACCCAGGCGTCCCAAATAAATAAAATCTTTAAAAAAAAAAAAAGAAGTTTCTTCCATCTTTAAATCCTTGGGTTGGAATTATAACGCAAATAGTGGGAAATCAAGGAGGAATGCTCTGCAATCCATATTTGGGATACCTAGAATGTTGGTGTAGAAAGAGGATGTTTCTTTTTTGGATCTCCCAGCAAATTATTAAACGTCTCCCTTACCAGTCTGAGTATAACAGGCACTGGGATGGGGCATTAAGGCGGCAGCTCTGGGACTGAATGTCAGGCCAGGGACTGACACCACCTAGTGGTCAGTTGAAGAAGTGTGACTAAGAAGGGTGTCTTGGAAGGGTCTGGTGGAAGGTGGGAGGAGAACCAAGATTTATTTTTATTTTTTTAAAGACTTATTCATTTTATAGTGAGAGAGAGAGAAAGAGCGAGAGCGCATGAGCGGGGGGGGGAGGGTCAGAGGGAGAGGGAGGGAAGCATGGAGCTGGATCCTGGGCTAGATCCTGAGATGACCCTGAGATGACCCTGAGATCATGATCTGAGCTGAAATCAAGAGTGGGACGCCTAACCGACTGAGCCCAAGAACCAAGATTTATTGAGCGCTTACCATGTGCCAAGCCCATGCAATGGATTTTGCCTGGATTAGCTCACTTCTATCTCATAACCACCTTGTGGCATAGGTTTTATTTCCAGTTTGCTGAAACGGCAATAGAGGCTCAGGGAGATTAAGGAATCTGCTCCAAATCATAGTGCAGATTGGAGCCCAGTTTTCATTCATTTAATCAACATTTATTAGGTACCTTACACGTGCTGGACACATTGCTAGGTGTGTACTAGGGACAAGAGATAGAAACACAGTCTCAGCCTTCAAGAAGCACATGCTTTAGTGGGATTGCTCAACCTGATGATTGACAATCACAACACAGTGCCTAATGCCTATGATAAAGGCAAACACAGAGGGAACCAGAGTAGGATAACTATTCCAGATAAAGGGATCAAAGCAGAGCTGGGCGTATGATGCCAAACTACATGTTGACAGAGAGGAAGAAGATGACGAGCAATGAATGACAGGAGGAAAGTGTGTTTTAGGCTGGCGGATAGGCAAAGGCATAGAGGCATGAGGAAGTGTAAAACAAAAAATGGCAAATATGATAATGCCGAAGTTCCATAATCTTATTGGGGAGGGTAGTGGGTGAAATACCAGGGAACCTAATGACGAAGGGTGATTTGGGCCACACTAAGTAGTTAGAGTTTCTTTTTTCTAGAAGTAGTGGGGAGCCAGGTGAGAAATTGATGAAGTCCTAATGCATCAGCCATACAGTTGAAGAGGAAGAGGATTCCAGACTAAGGAGACGGGATCAAGTATATTAATTGTTTTATCATGTCAGCCTAGAGGATAGTGACAGAGAAAGCTACTACTAGAGACTTCCGCTCACATTAGAACGTTCTCAAAGTTCTCAAATTTTGGCTGCACAATAGAATCACCTGAAGAGCTTCTGAAATCCCAGTGTTAGAAGACTTACATTACTTGACTTCAAGACTTTGAAGGGCGGCGCCTGGGTGGCTCAGTCGTTAAGCGTCTGCCTTCAGCTCAAGTCATGATCCCAGGGTCCTGGGATCGAGCCCCGCATCGGGCTCCCTGCTTCACAGGAAGCCTGCTTCTCCCTCTCCCACTCCCCCTGCTTGTGTTCCCTCTCTCACTGTGTCTCTCTCTGTCAAATAAATAAATCTTAAAAAAAGAAAAAAGACTTGTAAGCTTCAGTAATCAAGACAGTGTGGTACTGGCATGAAGGGTTGACAAACAGATCCATGGGACAGAATAAGAGGGGCCAGAAATAGACTCACACTTAGAGGTCATTTGATTTTGACAAAGGCGTCAAAGCAATCCATTGGGGAAAAGCATGTCTTTCAACAAATGGCACAGGACCTACTGAATATCCATAAGGAAGAAATAAGTGAACCTTGACCCCTACCTCATACATATACAAAAATTAATTCAAAACAGATCAAAGGATTAAGGTGTAACAACTAGATCTGTTACACAAGCCATAAACTTGTAGGTGAAAACAGAATATCTCATGACTTGGAGGTAAAAAAAAAAAATGTCTTAAGTTAAAGAAAGCAATAACCATAAAAGAAACATTAAGATTTAAAACTTTTGTTTATCAAAAAATGCCATTAAGAAAATGAATAAGCAAGCCAAATAGGTAAGGAAAATTTGATCTGACAAAGGACTGTTATCCAGGATATGTAAAAAAAATTTCTACAACACAGTAATAAAAAGACAACCCAATTTTTTTTAAATGGACAAGAGATTTGAATGGATACTTCACAAAAGAACATGTATGAATGGCCGATAAGCCCAGGAAAAGTGTTCAATATCTTTAGTCATCAAGAAAATGCAAATTAAAACCATAATGGCATAATTTGCCACACTCACCAGAATGGTTAAACTTTTAAAAACTCACAATACCAAATGCTAGTGAGAAGTAGAATAACTGGAACTCACACACAGTCTTGGGAGTGTAAAATGTACTATCAGTTTGGAATGATATGTAGCCTTTCTTATAAAACTAAGCATTTACCTATGACCCAACAATTATACTCCTAGTTATTTATTCAAGAGAAAAGAAAAAAGAGATTTAAAAAAGAATGTTCATAACAGTCTTCTACATAATACCTAAAAACTGGCTACAGCCCAGGTGTCTATCATTAAAAAAAAAACAACAACAAAAAACCGTGGTATATCTCTACAATGGAATACTACTTTAATCTTTAATAAAAATGGACAAACTATGGATCCACACAACAACATGGATGAGTCTCTAAATATTCATCGGTGAGTAAAAGAAGCCAAACATAAAAAGCACATCCTGTTTTACTCCATTTATTTGAATTCCGGAACAAACGAATCCACCTTGGGGGAAAAAAAAAGAAAAGAAAAAAAATCAGAACAGTGGCTCCCCCTGGAGGGTGGGGTGAGGATAATGATCTATATCTTGATTAGGGTTTGGATGTCATACAGTGGAGTGGTACGTCAGAGATTTGAACCCAGGTGCCCTGACCCCAGAGGCCATGGTTTTAACCACCATATGACATTGCTTTGCTGCTGGGATGCTTCAGACTTGGGTGTGGATGAGATGACATGAGAAGAGTAGCCTGTGGAGACAGGAGACTGAGAAGGAGCACCCAGAGGGGTGGGAGGAAGACTAGAAGAGAGGGAGCAGGACAACCAATGAGGGGAGAGCTTACTCGAGAATGGCTGACAGTGGGGTGCCTGGGTGGCTCAGTTGGTTAAGCAACTGCCTTCGGCTCAGGTCATGATCCTGGAGTCCCGGGATCGAGTCCCGCATCGGGCTCCCAGCTGAGTGGGGCGTCTGCTTCTCCCTCTGACCCTACCCCCTCTCATGCTCTCTCTATCTCATTCTCTCTCTCAAATAAATAAATAAATAATCTTAAAAAAAAAAGAATGGCTGACAGTGTTGAATACTGCTGAGCGGTCCAGCAAGAGAAAGACAGGGGCGGGCCATTATCCTTGGCACGTAGGTGGGCACGTGTGACACCGGACAGAACAGTTTCATTGGACTCATGGGGGCAGCCACCCACTGGCAGTGTCCTGAGGAGGTGAGGAAGGGAAGACAGTGAATGTGATTAACTTTCCCAAGAAGCTTGGCTACACAGGGGAAGAGAGAGAGAGAGGCAAGACAGGAATTAGAGGGCCAGTTAGAGGGCTGGAATTTCCTTGCAGAGGCTCAATTCTGACCACAGTTGTTGACTCCGTCCAGAGATGCTTGCCCACCCACCAAGGTTGCCACTTGTCCTTCTGTGAGGTGAAGATCTGTTGGCCACAGTAAGCCTCTGACAGCCCCAGGGCTCCATTTGGAACCCCGAGATCAGCTGACCCCACCATTGCTCATATCCTGTCATCCTTGGCAGGCCTCATTGGGCATCCACATTTCTCCACTTACCCCAGTGCTTCCTCTTCCTGACCACCCTTGCACTGCTCCCTGCCCCCCTCCTTGCAGAAAGCCCTAAGCCACCCTTGGCTCAGATTGTCCTTGCCCCTCTTTGCTTGTCTGAAACCAGGCTCTTCCCTGAGGACCCTCTGCCTTTAATGAGCTATCACTTATCCTCCCACAGTGTGGGAGCATGGGCAGTCAGATGTTGGGGCTGTCCATTTCCAAGAGTCAGTATGGCTCCACCCAGGTCTCAGTTAGGGATACATCTAGCAGCAAGTAACACAGAACCCAGTTAAAGTAAATTGAACATGGAGGAGTTCTAGAGTAGATCCAGGGCTGGTCCATTCAAGAGTTTTCTACCTCTTCACACTTCTACTCCATCCTAAGTGCCATCAATGGTCACCACTGTTCCAATCCTCACATGTGGACTTAGCATTGAAGAAGAACAGACTCTTTCCCAAGAACCCCCTAAAGTCCTATTGGCTAGGGGAATGGAAATACTGAGATTGGCTAGAGCAATAAGATTCATCCCCTGAATGCGTGGGAGGGAAACACCTGTACAAAATGCAGACTTTGCCAGCCAGGGAGAAAGGCTTGCTGGAGTAGGCACCATCAAGTTCTTGCCTTGATAGTCCTGTGAATTCCTCTACCTTTTAAGGGCCAGCTATTTCACTTTCCACTGAGAAGATGCGTAGCATAGTGCTTAAGGGCAACAGTGATCACACCGGACTAACTGGGTTCAAATTCCAGCTCTCTCACTTGCCAGGTCTTTGGCTTTGGGCAGGTTACTTAACCTTTCCACATTGCAGTTTCCTCCCCTGTAAGATGAGGGCTATCAGCACTCTCCAGTAGAACTTTCTGTGATGATGGTAATGACTCATGTCTGTGTTAATATAGTAACCATTAGCCATATGTGGCTACTGAGTGTTTGAAATGTGGATAGTTATTTGAGGAATTAAATTTTTAAATTAAAATTAAACAGCCACAGGGGCCCTGGGTAGCTCAGTCGGTTAAGCGATTGACTCTTGGTTTCGGCTCAGGTTGTGATCTCAAGGTCGTGAGATTGAGCCCTGCATCGGGCTCTGTGCTCAGCACTCAGGGCAGAGTCTGCTTGAGTTTCTGTCTCCCTCTCCCTCTGCCCCTCCCCCTCTCTAAAATAAATAAATAAATCTTTTAAAAAAATGAAACAGCCACATGTGGTTCGTGGTTGTCATCTTGGGCACATAGTTCTATCTCATAATATTGTTGTCGGATAAAATGCAGTGTTTGGATTTTCAGGTAGGAATTGAAGTGATACATAAACCCTCACTAAATGTGAATTCTTGTTATTTTTGCTGTCATCCACTGATGTCCTGGTCACTTGCCCACACTCCCTGAAGACTTTGGCATCTCATCTACTGTATTCCTGTCCACCCCAGGTCTTTTGCAAACCCAGATGGCTTCAGCTACTCATGCAGGTAGTCCAGCCAGCACTCTGGCCTCTTGGTCCCTTGCCCTCCTCAACTCCAATGACTCACTGTCATGTTGTCATAACCACTCACTCCCAGAGCCACGACCTACACCACATCCTCCCAGGAAAGCAGGACTGAAATCTAATCCCCTTGTCTCCAACTACAACATTCCAGCCCTCCAACTCTTTTCTCCTTTGCTCTCAGGAAGGCTAGTCTTTAGGTCTGTTGAAACTTCCAGTTCCTTGACTCTATTATTTCCTTGCCCACCAGTTCCTCATGTCTTTACTTCTCTTCCTAACCAGCCTTGATTCCACAGTGCTTCACTTCTGCTCCTCCATGAAATGGTCGCTTCCTCCATTATTATTAACCTTTGGAACTGTTCTCCTGGTTTCAGACTTACACTTTAAATCCATCCTCTACACTGCAGTGAGGGTGATCTCTGCTAAACCGCATCATATTACTCACCTGTCTAAAATTTCTAATGCTTCCGGTTGCCAACTACTACCCACTTCCAGAAGGTACCGTGCTCCCACAGTATCCATACTTTTGCATATGCTAGATCCTCTTCCTGGTTTAACTCTCCCTTTGTTCTTTGCCAGAATAACTCCTATTTTTCCTTCAAGATTTAGTTTAGGCGTCACCTCTTATAGGAAGCCCTCCCTGACCTCCCCTATCTCCTACCTAGTTTAGATGCCTCTCCTATGTGCCCACATAGCACCCTATGATTCACTGGACTACGGCCCTGATTATCCCATAATATCACTGCTTCCTGACTAATCTGACTCCCTCTGTTAGCGGTGAGAAACTGAGAACAGAGACACCCAACCAATTTTTGTTGACAACATATATTCTGGGAGGATTGGTTTTATATGTTTGTTATCAGTTTGATTTTACTTTTTTAAAATGGGGGGCTTTGAACATGTTTATATGCTGAGCGTAAAGAGCTGTAATAATTAGAGAAGGAGAGGTTGGAGATTTGGAGGATTGAGGGGACAATGAATGGAACAGTGCCTGAGGAAGCAGAGGGAGGGGTCCCTCAGGTGGAGAAACAGTCCTCAGGTCAGGGCAGGAACAGAGAGAGGCTCCCTTTCCTCTGAGCCTACAGGAAAGGGGCCGGTGCTGATGAATATATGTGTTGCCTGGGAGAAGGAAACTGGGGGAGTTTCCAATTTATGGGCTCTGTTTCATCTAATCTAAGTGTTCAGTTGGTATCAAGATGGGTGAAAATTTGGGGGAGAATGGCAAAGGCCTGGGAGACCGAGCTGGCTAGGGGCCCACAGCAGTTTCCCATACTTCTTCTGTGACCTTTCCCTCTATCCCTCAATCCTCCATAAATCCCAGGGTACTATCCAGTGCTCCAGAACATGATACCCACTCACCTTGCCTATGAAGTGTACGGAGCTCCTGCCATCAATCCATAATTAAGGGTAGTCCTTATATAAGAGAGTGACTGTAAAATATTTAGCCCAGCACCAGGTACCTAGTAAAGGCTCAGTAAATGGTAGTCCTTGAATTCACTAGCAGGAATGCATGTTGTCTTTTCTAGCTGCATAGCAGAATGTACAGTGTGATGTGAATCCCCGCCCTCTGGGAGCTTCTGTTCTTGTCGAAGAAGGAAACACCCATAAAATAATTAAAAAGCAATGCAAAGTGATACATGATGATTATCAACATCCAAATGGTGCTTTGTTTTGTGATCACAGCCCTCAATAAAAAGTATCTTTTATATCAAGACCTAGAACTCAGATACTTACATAAAAGTGAAACAAAAGTTTCATTAAACAATACTTATCCTTTCTTTATGTGATACATTCTGATATTTTCTATTCTACTTTGTTTCTAAAAAGTGATGGGCAAGGCTCACTGTGATGGATTGAACTGTGTCTCTCAAAAATTCATATTTTCAGGGTGCCTGGCTGGCTCAGTCAGTAGAGCATGTGATTCTTGATCTCAAGGTCATGAGTTCAAGCACCACATTGGGCATAGAACTTACTTTAATTAACGACTTTAAAACAATTTTTTAAAAGATTATTTATTTTTTCAAAAGAAAGAGAGAGCAAAGGGAGGAGCAGAGGGAGAGAGAAAAGCAGACCTCGCATAGAGTGCAGTCAGGACTCTGAGATCATGACCTGAGCCAAAACCAAAAGTCAGACGTTTAACGGACTGAGCTACCCAGGCACCCCTAAATTTTTTTAACTCATATTTTCATATGCTGAATTCATATGTCCCTCAAAATTCATATTCACTTGAGGTTCACCCAGTACATCAGAATGTAACCTCATTTGGGGATAGGGACTTTACAGAGGTAATCAAGTTAAAATGAGGTCACTAAGGGTGGGCCCTAAGCCAATATGACTGGTGTCCTTATGAAAAGGGGAAATTGGGAGACAGGTTCAAATATAGGGAGAACACCATGTGAACCTGAAGATAGCCATCTACAAGCCAAGGAATGATACCTAGAACAGATTTTCCTTCACAGCTCTCTGAAGGGACCAACCCCACTAACACCTTGATCTGGGACTTTCTCTCAGAGAAAGTGAGACAATACATTTCTATTGTTTAAGCCAACTCAGCTTGTGGTGCTTTGTGATGGCAGTCCTAGCAAACTAATACACCCTTCAGACTGATTCTGTGACTCACTGTTGGCTTACAAACTGCCCTTTACAGACCACAAATTTCTTTTTTCCTATGCGTTCTCTCATGTAATCTTTATGACCCTTTGGTGGGATGGCAGGGCCCGGAGGAGGGTGAGGCACGCAAGGCCCTCACTCCAAGGGTCACGCAAGTGGGGGTGTCATTACTGCAAGTCTAGCTGACCCTACGATTGCACCACCTGAAGATGAGTGCCTCCTTAAGTTTTGCTAAACTCATGTCTCCATTTGAGGGGTTGACACACCACCACAAGCTCTTAAGTGGAATCAGACCCAAGTCAGATTTGCCTCTAAATTCTGGGTCCTTAATTAATTAACTAATTAATTAATTAATTCTAGGTTCTTTCCACGACACCACAGTGTCCCCATTGGTGCAACCAGTTAGAGAGGATGGCAATAAATATTGTTTTCCAACCAGTCCTTGCTCCTCACCTTTTTACCCTGCAAAAGGAGCCAAAGTTAGAGACTACATTCAATCCTCCTCTTCTCTTGCCAAAATTTGGGGGAACTTGGACCTTCCGAGACCCTTATGAATTCAACCACTGTCTGTGGATGTCTGTAGGCAGGGTGGGCCCCTGTGTGCATACACTGCAATCCTAGCATTGCTGGTCATACAAACCCTGGACAGATTCCCTCCCTGCCATCCCCACCCCTGCTTGACCGCCTCTCCAGTTCCCTGCCTTCCACACACAGTGAGCACATAAACACACGGACCTCCAATATCTCGTCTTTGTGGCACCGTTATTACCCCCAAACCCGGGGTCCCCTATGTAGGATGGAAGTCCTTCTGCCTTCCTCACGCCTGGCTTATTCTGGCCCATAAAAGAATGCCTAGCATTTACTGTGTGCCAGGCATTGTTCTAAGCTTGTACATAGTTTTATTGTATCTCACTCCCACAATCTTATGAGTTAAGACTTATTTGCTCCATTTTACAGACGACAAACTGAAACGCAAAGAGTAACTTGCTCAGAATTGTGCAGTTAGTAGCGTTGGCAGGACTGGAACCCAAGTGGCCTGTCTCCAGAGTCCCAGTTCTTAGCTGCTACCCTCTGCTGCCTGCCTGGGGCCCCCACGCACACGTGCACCCTTGCAGACACATGCCCATCCACATGGGGCCAGCGGGGGAGGAGCTGGGGGCCGGGAATCAGTTCAAGCACCAGGGGGCAGCAGAGGCCTAGCTTTGGCCCCTCAGCCCAGCCCTGTTGGGAGAGAGAAGAGGGGAGCAGAAACCTCCTCCCATCTCCCACCACCCCCTAGAGACCACCGTTTTTATACACCTTAGGTTTGGGGACGTAGAGGCCTCTCTAGGCCCCTTGGCCTCCTTCAGCTCCTCCACCAACAAAAGCTGCAAAAAACGTCCACTAGTTACGATGATGACTCAGAAGCTGAGCAAGCCTTGTGTTTGTGAGTTTGTGTCTCATTGCGACCGCCTGTGGCTCTGAGGGCTGACACGACTGTGAGCCTGTGCGCACATGCCTAAGCGTGTGCGTGTGTGTGGTCTTATGGCCAGGGAAGTTGTACATGTATGTATTTGTTTCTGGGTGTGTCTCAGTGTTTACCACAGAAACAGGAACTTTGCCAAGGCTGCACAGCAGATTCCTAGTCAAACTCGTACCTTGGGAAACGGCAGGCAGCCACTCCAGGTTGTGTTGGCTTCCACAAGTGTCTAAAGAGTAGTACCCTGGACGGAGGGGGCCGAAACGGTTTTCAGTGCAAGAGACTCCTTCTGGAGTCTTCCAGAATTCTGAGCTCTGGGGTCCCCTCCCCCACTCCCTCCCATCAGTGGTCACGAGACTTCTAAGGCGCGCCCTGCCAAGAAGGGAGGTGGACCTAGGAGTTGCAGAGAGCATGGAGCTCCCTGGCTGCTTTTCAGGGTCCTCCACTGGAGGGAGCCCAGAGCCCAGAGGGATTTGCTTTTCCAGAGGCCCTGGGGTGCCCAGTTCCTCCTGAGCCCAAAGCGCGGACCCCTGCAAAAGTCTGAGTATGGGGGAGGCAGTCTGGAGCCGCAGGTCTCTGCTTGGTATTAGGTGACTTTCTGGAGAAAAGTTGATCACTTTTGAGGGGACAGAGTAAGTGGGGGTCAGGCTCCCCCCAGTCTGGCCCAAGGGTCGGGAGCCCCAGTCCTGCCTTCCTCTACCCCATGCTCCCCCACTCGGCACAGGAGTCACACACGCTCACCCCACTGTCTTCCTCTTCCTCCTCCAGCCCACTTTCTCTTCTCCGTGTCGTCAGAGCTCCAGGGAGGGACCTGGTTAGACGGAGAAGCCGGAAACAGCGGGCTGGGGCAGCCAGTGCTTGCACTGAGGAGGAAGGACCGGAGAGGTTGTGTGTGCGTGTGTGTGTGTATGTGTGTGTGTGTGTTCTTTTTGGTGGTGGTGGTGGAGGGGGAGGGGGGTGCCAGCAGGGCCAGCCCTGAACTCGCTGGACGGAGCTACAGACCCATGGGGCCTGGCAGTGGCCGCTGAGCGAGGGAGAAGACAGCAGAGGGGTTGCCAAGGTGAGGGGATGCCTCCGAGGGGGGGGGGGGGGCTCTGACTTTGAGTGTGTGTGGGGGGGGTGGATTAGCGCGGGGGGGGGGGGTTCCTCTCGAGACCTTCCCCTGGGCGGGTGTATGGTCCCCTGGGAAATTGTTTCAGTTGGTGTCCGGAGCTGGGGGTCCCGGGTTTGGGCACTTTTGAGTTCTCAGAGGACTCTGGTACGGGTAAGGCCGCGCACTCCCACCTCCCCGCGTGGGTCACTTTTTCCACACCCCCGCCCCCGCCCCTCCAGGGGCAAGCAAAGGCACGGAAAGGAGGGCAAGGAGGTGCCCCTCTGCCCTGGGGGGAGGGGAGGTGGCTGCCCCTCCCTAGACGGTTGATGCCAGAGGGAGGTAGGTCCTTGACAAGCCCCTATCCTGTCCCCCCATAAAGGCTGTTGTTCAAGGGTGTGGCTGGGGGGGTAAGCGAGCCTCAGATGTAGACCTCATGGTGCCTGAGAGAAGGGGGAATTTCCCCCTCAAAAGTGCTCCACGCTTGGCTGCTGTAGACGCTGAGATTTCCCGGTGGCTGCGCAGAGTTAACCCTCCTCGTGCTGAACGGGTTCCACCTCCCCGCCCCCACCGCCACATACACATATTGGGCAACTCAGAGAAGCTCTTTTGACTTTTGATCCTGTGGTCCCGCGGTCAGAGGGCTCGCGAATGGAGGGACAGAGGTGATTGGGTTTAGGCCACGAAGCAGGCTGAGGAGGACGGTGGACGTCCAGGCTTGCCTTCCCAGTTGGGAAGTGTTGGGGAACGCTGGCCCCGCCCCCTCGCGCCGTGGCCCCTCCTCCCTGCCGGTCTTCTGGGGCGTGACGGGGGGGGCGCTTAAAGCTTAAGGTGCCGCTGTCGGGGGCAGGCCCGTCGACCCAGCTTCGTTGTAGGGTGGCCTCCTGAGGTCTGGGGATGGAGTAGGGGAGGAGATTTGAAGGCAGGGCCTTGCTGGGAGGCTGGTCACTCAACAAGGGTTTATAGAGGGAAGGAGGGGGGGCTGCCTTCTGCTTAAGGATTACCTGTCTCGGCTTGGGTAGGGATAGAGGGTCAAAGGTCTGAGCACCATGGGAAACAGGAGAGGAAGAGAGAAGAGAGGAACGGAGTCCTCCCTTGAATTTGGAACACAGACCAATAGGTGCCCCACTCCAGGGTGAGAGAGGTGGTAGAGAAAGGCCTATTGGAAGACCCTGAGCAGGAGGGAAGATTCTGCCTTTCTGAGAAAAGAGCTAGAGGGGATAGAAGCTGGTGGGTTGGGGGAGCAAGAGGGTTAGGGAGCAAGAGTCTCCAAAGAAGGGGCCCCTCTGTTCTCTATCCCTTTGGGAGTCTTGGGAGAGGGGAGTGGCTAAAAGCCTAACAGGAGGGCTTGGGTTACTGGGTTGGGGGAGACTCAGGGAGTTTCCATCCCCATCCTCTCTCAATCTCTAGGAGAAGGGCATTACGGGAAACGGGGGCGGCTGAGAGACCCCGGGGAAAACACTGGTTGACCCTCTCCACCCTGCAGCCCACCCAGAAATAGGGATGCAGCCCTCTCCCCTACTTCTCCCATCTCCTTTCCTCTCTCCCTGTTTTCTCCTCTGCCCTTGGCCTCTAGCCCAGCCTCTAGCTTCCTCTTCCCAGCTTCTAAGCTCTTCACTCCAGGCTTACTAACCCTACTTTTTCTCCAATCTTTCCCACCTTCTTCCCAAGTTCTCTCTGCTTTTCCCTTTCCTCCATCTCCACCTTGCTTCTTCAACTCTCTTCTCGCAGCCCCTCCTCTTAGGATGATGGGATCTGGATGTGGAAGGGGCCCTCACAGCATGGTGTCGCTTACCCCTTGGAATCAAATCCTATTTTCCAGACTCACTGGCTTAGTGGCCTTGGCAGGTCAGAGAACCTCCTTTAGTTTCTTCATCTATGAAAGGGCATAGTTTCATATTTTAAAATTCATTGCAAAGCTCTAATGAGATAATGAGCTTTCGTGTAATGCCTCATACATAGTAAGTGATCAATAAATGGTAACTGTTACTGCTCTCCCATTCTCTTCTTCATCATCCAGCCTGGTCCTTTTCAAATTATCTCATGGAGCCCTGGGATTTTGAGGGGTGTCTCTAGTGACACCTTTGGGGTCAGGAGATAGGGAGAGGGACGTAGAAGCAGTAAGATTCCAGGCCTACCACACTTGCTTTCAATAAAGAAACTCCAATTTTATGCCTTTTATATACTTGGGATTCCACAGATTAAAAACTAAAATTGCCCTCTACTTTAGAAATTTTTGGAAAGTTCTGCACGTATCCAAGCCTCATATTTTATGAGACGAGAAGATCGAGGCTCACAGTGGGGAGGTTCCTTGCCCACAGGACCAGAGCCAGCTCAGAGCTGCAATCTGAGTCCTCTGCCTTCTCTCAGAGAGCTTTCTGTACTCTGCCCACCTCCCCTGTCCTCCCAGCCCTCTGGCTGCATCTCAACGCTTCTACGCCATCACCCCTTTGACTACAACTGAAGGGATTATCTTGTTTCAGGCACTGACCAAAGATGTCCCCGGTTTGAGGTGGTCTGGCTGTGAGTGGTGGTGGGGATGGTCTCTGGGATCTGGGGTCTAGAGGAGGTTGCAGGCTGCCCCCAGAACATAAGCCAACTTTCTTGGGTGCCTCTCAGAGTGGCCTTGTTCCTTTCCAGAAGGCACCCTCCACGCCCCAGATCATGTCTCTGTGGGGTCTGGTCTCCAAGATGCCTCTGGAAAAACTGCAGCCGCTCTATGTCGACTTTCCCCAACACCTGCGGCATCTCCTGAGTGACTGGCTAGAGAACCAGCCCTGGTGAGTCCTAGCTACCCCACACTGGTCTCCTCCAGGTCCTCCTCCACCCACCTTCCCTCTCATTAGATTTTCTCTGTCCCGTTTTGGGATTCGGGATGTGTTATTCCCTGTGTGGTGGCCTGGACTTAGCGGGGAGTCTGTGCCACACCAACCAGATTATGCACGTTGACACATGGAGTCCCCCACCGCCTGAGGAGCCCCAGCCAAAGAGGAAGGAGGTCAGGACTGGGACAAGGGACCGTCCCACAGCAGCTAGAAAATTGGGGAACAAAGGGCACATGGATGAGGCTGTACAGGGCCTGGATGGAGACTAGGACTGGGAAGGTGCTGCTGAGCTGTTTGCTGAGGGATGGAAGGTCAGTAGAGCTGAAGAAACCCTGACCCGAGGCCACCTCATCCTGCTCTTCCCACAGGGAGTTCCTGGTCGGCTCAGACACCTTCTGCTGCAACATGGCTAGTGTGCTCCTTTCCACCACTGTCCAGCGCCTTCAGGCTTCGGCGGGAAAGCAGGGGGAGGCGAGCCCCATCTTGCAACATATCAACACCCTGGAGGTGGGGACAAGGAGGGGAGGGACTAGGCTGGAGTGGGGCTGGAGTGGAGCTGGGATGAGCATTGAACACCAGAGGAAATTGTTTGGATGCTGGAGCAAGTTGGTGTTCCTGTAGTTAACTGTTAGCTAGCATGCAAATTAGGTTTTAAAAGCATGCAAATGCATGAAAACTTCTGGAGTCTACAGTTGTGCTGCCTTCAACCTTTCGGTGTGCTTATGAATGGAGGGGGTGGCGTGGATTGGAGGGGGAGGACAACATGGGTGAGAGCGAGGCTAACCCAGTCCGCCACTCTTCATTTCTCTAGAGCATATATCAAAGGGACCCCCTGAAGCTGGTGGCCACTTTTAGACAAATACTTCAAGGGGAGAAAAAAGCTGTTTTGGAACAGGTATTGTTAATACTCCACCTCCCATCCCATCTCAACTCACTGGACTTTAGCCTCAGCCATGAAAAACTAGAAGGAATTTGAACTTCAGGAGAGGCTCAATGTTTTAGGCCCAGGATGACCAAAGGCGGTTCCTGGGGTCAGAGTGCCCCCCAAGCCAAGCTCAGGGAAGCTTCAAAATGAGGAACTGAGGGTAGTGAGGCCTGGGGAGGAGAGAGCAAAGAGTAAGAAGCTGATTCTGCCAAGAGAGAGGTCTTATCCCTGGGAAATTCCAAAAGATCAGGGAGAACCTTCAAAGCGGAAAGGGAGCCGGACAAGGGAAGTAGCTTGTTTCCTTTTGGCAGAGCATGGCAGCAGGCACCCCTTTAGGGAATGCAGGCCTATTGTAGAAGGATGGACGGAGTATCTCACCTCTTGCCGTCTGTCCCTCCCGTGCAGTTCCGGCACCTGCCAATGCCCTTCCACTGGAAGCAGGAGGAACTGAAGTTTAACACAGCCCTGCAAAGGCTGCAGCATCGGGTGGGAGAAGTTCGCCTTCTCCGAGAGGCCCTGCAGCCGGGGTCTGAGGCTGGCCAAGGTGGGAGCTTGGGTCTGGCACTCTAAGAGGGTTCTGGAGAGTGGGTGGGAGGGATGCCCTCTTGGACCTCACCCTTGACCGAACCTCAAATTTATCTGTACCCCTCATTTCTGCCCTCACCCTCAGTGTCTCTGCACAATTTGATAGATGCTCCTGCCAGTGGAAGTGGGCCAAGTGAGGTAAGTGATGGATTGGGAGGTGAAGTTTGAACTCAAAGTACAGTCCTGGAGGGATCTCAGTTCTGTGGCGGGATGGAGATCAGGCCTCAGAGGAACACACATTGTGGTGGGGTAGGGGAAGGCCTTAGATGTGAGAAAGAGAGGCGTGCCCTCAGGGCTGGGGGAGTAGACAGGCTGGCCCTGGCTCAGGCCTCCCCTGCCCACAGGCCCTGGCCACGTTGCTGCAGGAGACTGTTGGGGAGCTGGAGGCTGCCCAGGCCCTGGTGCTGAAGAGGATCCAGATTTGGAAACGCCAGCAGCAGTTGGCAGGGAATGGCGCGCCCTTTGAG